GTGGGACTAATTAAATGGGAAAATATATTAATTGTTTTAATTTTTAAATATAAATAAAGTAAAATTAAGAATTAAAGTAGTTTGTAAATTATTTAAAATTTAAAAAATTCACATAATCATCTTTTACATGATGGATTTTCCACCTAATAATGAAAATGTAAAATAATCAATCACTTAGCAAAAAAATTAGCTACATCAACATTGAACTGATGGAAAGACGAAATTGAAAATTGAAGTTGAAGGACGTTTTTGGTACTTTCTGAAGTTTAAAAATGAATTGGTTCAAAAATAAAAGTCGAGGGACCAATTCAAATATTTAACCTTAAAAAATATGTTAGCCACGTCAGTATCACTATTCAATTAATCCTTAAATAGAAAAAGTTGAAAGTTGACATCCTTAAATAGAAAATATTAAAAGTTGACATCCTTATTTAGAAACTGATAAAATTAACATCCTTATTTAGAAAAAAATTGAAAGTTAACATCCTTATTTAGAAAAAAATTAAAAGTTGACATCCTTATTTAGAAACTGATAAAATTAACATCCTTAAATAGAAAAAAGTACAAAGTTAAAATCCTTATTTACACCTTTACTCCCACTTACAAGGCAAGACTGAATCAGAAGATGTCTCCATCTATACTTTTTCTACGGTTGAGAGTTCTCAAAGTACATTTACAAAGACTAGCGAAGAAGTATAATTTTTCATTTTACTGTGATACAACTTTATATAGAAGAGTCTTTAATATGATGATACGTTTAAAGATATCATTCCATGCTCCACAGCATCATCAACCCCTTTTGGTTTCCATGCATACTTAGCAAAGTTGCTAAACACGTACGTTTTAGTGAGAAAGGGAGGGTAAGAAAAAGCAGCAGCTACAGAAATACGAAAATAAAGAGCTAGACCTAACAGGAAGAATACAAGAAAAAATGCCTGGAGGATTTCTCTAGGACAAAGAATGTTGAATCCTATTCTGTTCAAGTTAGTGCTTTGCTTTCAGTTTTACTTGTTATGTTGCCGCTGCGGCCGCTTGTTGGGCTTTGCAGGTGTTGTTGACTTGGGGTAAGTCACTTGGAATGCTCTGATGACATCCCGTACATCTGGATCGTCTTTAGGAATTTTAGTTCGCATTGCCTCTGCTGACTTGTGATCTCCGCAAGCCAAAAGCGCCTGATACATTCTGCAACAACACACCGGAATAAAATTAAAATCCATCAGAACCAGTGGATCTTCATGACATGCAGGATGAAGGGATCAACTGCCATACCATTGCTTACCTTA